TTATATTGGTTTTGTTTTAAGCTTATATTTGCTTTATATTTTTTTATTATCTTAAAAAGTTCACCTTATCGTGTAAACAAATATAATACTGTAATTCAGACTTCGTTCACGAACAACAACGATTTCACTGTCATCTCGTTATCAAGTCCAAGAAAATATGAAAACATCAAAAACAATGATAGTCGTTTATTTAAATTACACAATTCTTCTAGCGTTTAATTTTTCCTTGATTCTGTTAATCGGATCGTGGGGCCCAGTTCATCTGAATCAGTTTGCTCTCTTGAAGGTTAATTAATTAATCAATTAAATTTTTCTCATTAATTATTTAGTTGATTAAATTTTTCTCCTAAGCGATGATAATTTTTTGTATCTTAGCTTGTCTTTACATACCAAAATTTTTAATTCTTACAACGTATTAAAATCTTTCCGTAAGTTTGGCCTACAATTTTACTGCTTTACTTATTTACAGTAAATAATAATTGTATGAATCATAAAATTAATTGCACTGAAAAAAAACGCTAAAATTAACATGTGGATTAAAATTTAAAAAAAGTTTTATTGGCATAAGTATTAAATATTTTTGAAGTTATTTTTCCATAATAATTTCACAAATCTAAAAATTCAAATTTAATTAAAGAAGCTATTAAATTTGGTAAGGAATGAAAGTGTAAACTATTTACATTACAGGAAATTTCAAGTTTCTCAATTCCAATATTTGTTAATTGCTTTTCAATCATACTAATTACAAGAATACAACAAATTCGTCGTAAAGTAATAGCTTTATTGCAATATTTGCACTGCTTTAATTGCGATGAGATTGCGAATCAAGAAGTTTTGATGCAGTCGCATTATTCAACTGTTCAGCAACATATCCAAATTATGCAACAAATGTGGGAGAGACACAAAAATTAATGATATAATGGATTTATATGACTGTAATGTAAAATATAATACACAAACATGAATATATATAATTGTAATCTAATTAATTTTTTTTATTTTGAATTGTTGATTGCTACTTTTGCTTAAATAAATAAATAATATCTAAATTTTTACAGTATTTGTATATAAAATATAGTAATTAATACGTGGCAAAATTGAATAGACGGCAATTTTATGGAATCTTCATTTTTGATCTGCTAATCTTCTAAGATGGTTATTGAATTC